GTAAGTGGGTTATCAGGCCCAGCGATGGGAAGGGCCCGTACGCATATGCTTCTAACATTTGGTATTCTTCTGAAGTTTCTAGTGGTATATAAGTCCAAAATACAATTTTAAGTGGAATTAAATTGCCCCGTGTTCCTGATATGAGAAAGTGTATCAAAGTCAGTTTTAATGCATCTTTTAGATTCTCTCCAGTGTGCCATAATGACTGTACCAGCAGTCCTCTACAAATTCTTAGTACTACTAACATTCTCTTGGGGGTAGAGCAGTGTCTAAGATGAGTCTACATCTTATGGGTCATTATCACAGTTTGGTTTGTATGGTGCAATAAAAATATTCATGATGGAATAAGTTGTCGTAATTTTTACTACTATTGCAGGTCTCTAAACCATTTATGAACTGTAGTCAAGATATTGCCCGTTTTTATAAACCGTAAAATGCAAAGTTTAACTGTTACCCACAGTTTACATAGAAGCTAGTAAAGTGTAACTTTTTGCCTGCCTTATAAATCAGTGTAATTACATATTCAACTTTAATTACTGGTGCGTCTGTATTGGCAAGGTTTATATGTTATATTTTATGCAAGACTACGATTCCTATTAATATTTAGCAGCTAACTATATCATTAATTACTCTAAAATCTTTCCCCTACCATCTTTTTAATGGAGCTGAGAGAGTAGATGTATTAAAAATTGATGTATTGTGGATTTCAGAAATGTGTATGACACTTTAAAAAATGTCTGGCCTTGTTCAATAGGCCAAGCATATCGGTTTCTTGTTTACTAAAAAGTATTGACCCTGGTAGAACTTAGAATGCAGGGGAAAAAATTATAATCTGAATAATGAAGCATATATGCCAGCCATCCAGTTGTTAGGATGAGTCGACACTTTATGTCCATACTTCTGGAGTTAAACATCATATACTTCTAATTTCAAGTTATTGAGGTAAGAATAGTACCTTCTCTCATTTTTATATTTTCTTCCCCATCTCTGCATTAAAGATCTAGTCAAAGACCCGAATGAGAAATGTGGTCTTTATATGTGCTTATTTCCATCTGACCTTTCCTAGGATATTATTTTTGTTGACTTTTTAAACATCTTATTCTATTTGACATATTAATGTCTTTAAGATCATGCACCTAATTGCTTTATAGCACTTTTACTCTATCACCTTTGCAAAAAACACACTGTGAACATTAATGTGTTTTATCAGGTTCCAAACCATTACTTTTTCAAAATGGAAAAATTTGTCTTTTGGAAGTGTCTTTAGATGTATTAAATAATACAAAAGAAGTAATAAAACTCGAAGTAGAAAGAACATGAATATATGCTCTTGAGAGTAGCAGTACTCTAAAACAGGGAAAGTGAGCAATCAGACAAAAGTTTTTATACCTCTGCTTTATCCTATCAGCCAGGCAGTGGGTAGCTTGAGGCCTTTTACTTTTAGCAGTTCTCCTGAGTATGCTGGTGCTCGCTCTCTGTGTAAAATGCTAAAATAATAAAAGTTTAAAGAGCAAACAAGAGTCAGATCCTGTTTTCCCCCTTTTAAAAAAGACCTATTTCAGAAAAATGAAAGACGTTCCTAATGAAAGTGTTTGAGCTGCTGGTATAACTCCCTATGTTAGTATGCAGTGGATAGTGGTGGTGTACCATACAGAAAGGGTATGGAACGAAGTGTTTTCTTAAGTGTTAAGTGTCCAGTGATAAGAATATTAAAATAAAAAATTAATGATTCAATCAAATCATTTGTTAAACATTATATTTTACAACCTGAGATAATGGGCTAAATGATGGCATTGCCAGGTTAGTTATACTTTTTCATTTGGCAATTGCTATTTTAGATTCTTCATTTTATTATTAATTTAGTTCAGTTAAATGTGAAATACATCAGTGAAAAAATAGGATGTGTAAAATAATATATAAAAATTATAGATTTAATGCCTGATGGGTTTATAAAACTAAAATGTTCGTAGTCAACCTATCTGTATGTTTTCTGCGCTTATGAATTAGTGCATGTGAAAAATATTTATGTGTATTTTCCATAGAGAGATGTAAGGGAAGCTTCCCTTGGCTTATTGGAAGTAGATTTCAGAAAAAGAAAAAAATTAGAGGAAGACCAAATCGGGTCTTTTCCTAAATTATACAAATTATAATCAAAATCTTAATTATCTTGCAAAATATTGAACTGTCATTCATTCTTTGAATCTGTTTCTGCTGTCATTAACTTTTTGTATATTAGACGTCAAATATTATTGGTGGAATGTCATCTCAGTATTCTGTATCTTCATCTTTATAGAGTGTTAATATGCTTGTACTTAAAGAATGTTAGGCATTTTATGTACATTATGAGGCAAAGGAAAAATATTATCTGATTCTCTCAATCAGAATTGGGCTGCATATAATTAAATGTACTTCAAAGTACTTTGAAAATTAAACAGAAGTGAAGTAATTGTTAGAGAACATTTAAACTGCATGCGTATGTGCCCTGAAATGAAGCCGTGGTCCTTGCTGTTTTGGAGGGGAGTAGTTACACTCACGCAAGAGTGAAGGAGAGGCAGAAAGGCCTACTGCTTCCGGTATGCGGGCTCTAGTGACAGATGGTAGGGGTTCCAATCCCAGAGTTAGCACTGAGTAGCTAAGTAGGAGTCATTTCTTTCCTCAGTTTTCTCAATTGAAAATGAAGTAAGTAATAATAATATCTACCTCATAAGATCCTTTCTTAAAAAAAAAGATTTTACTCATTTATTTGAGAGAGAGACAGCGAGAGAGGGAACACAAGCAGGGGGAGTGAGAGAGGGAGAAGCAGGCTGCCTGCAGAGCAGGGAGCCCGATGTGGGGCTCGATGTGGGGCTCGATCCCAGGACCCCGGGATCATGACCTGAGCCGAAGGCAGGCGTTTAATGACTGAGCCACCCAGGTGCCCCTGCCTCATGAGATTCTTTCAGATGAAACGAGTGCCTGGAAGATAATAATTCCTCCCCGTGTCCCTCACAGTGCTGTGTACACAGTTATATTACATCTTGTCATACCTCGTTGTTACTCTAAATGAAACTAAAAACAATACTAAGATATTTCACATCTTAATGCCTTTCTTAAGGCATTCCATAAATGTGTAGTTAGTTTCCTTGGCCATCCCTTTGCTTTTCCTCTCACCCCCTTATAATTCCTGAAGTAAGCCAATCCACAGAAGGAAACAATACGAGACAGAAATTTATGGTCAGGAGCAGGTTACTCAGAGTCAGCAGGGTATGAGATTTTTCAGGAAAAAAAAAAGATGTTATCCGAGGTTACAGATAATTAACAATTATAACAATGAATAATACCAACCCAGAACAGGAGCTCATAATATATACCAAGAAAACAGTATTAGGTTTGATAGGAACTTAGATATAAAAAAATAGACTTTAGAATATATGAAGTGGTGGAAACAGACTGGTGAGTGTCTTAAATATCAAGCTGCAGTGTTTGTCTCTGTCAGTATGAAGCCTGGTGATGTTATGAGCTTGAGTTTCACACCGTCAGAGATGTGCTTTAGGATGAGTAACCTGGAAGTGGGCTGAATGAAACTGACAAATGGTATGATATTCAGGAGTTGGGAGAGACTATAGAGCAGAAGAGAGATAGAGAGAGACTGAGAGCAGAAGATTGATTCTTGCGGTAGGTAGTACCTGACCTAAGTACAGGACTGGGCATGGAGAGCAAGGAGTCAATTCAAGAAGTGCTATGGAAAAAAAGACCAGACAAGACAACCCACTGAATGCTGGGGACAAAGAGGAAAATTAGGCAAAATCATAGCAACTTTGGAAGCTCATAAAGAGAAATAGAAGTCACAAGAGGACAGGCTCAAGAGGGAAAATGATATGTTCACCATTTTATTTGTTGAATCCAAGAACATTAAGTGTCCTTAGATTCAGGAAATGGAACTTTGTTTGTTTAGTCTTTTTACTCAATTCCAAAATGGTAAATCCAAATCCAAATGGTAACATTGTAGAATATAGATGTATTCCTGGATTGGTAGAGATGTTTTGAAGCTTTAGAAGAATGGAATAACTATGGGTTAATGCTTCTTACAAATTATTTTTGGAGAACAGGAGATGTCAGATTATCATCCACATTCTGCAATTTGATCCTCTGTATTTAACACTTTCTCTTCATTCCAAGTTTTACTCTTAGAATGCCCTGAATGAAGGCTTTTGCCAAACTAGTGCATTAATTTTGCCTTCACTGCCTGCTTTTCTGCCTTTTCCTTTTTCGTCTTTTCATCCTCTTTCTCTCACCTAAATCCTACTTCTCCTTAAGAGCCTGGTCCTATTTTCCCAGGAAGCTTTCCCCAGAAACTGTGCTGTCAGGACCCACACTTTGTTCCACACTCCGGAGAGCTTACTCCCTGTACATTGTCTGCAACTAGCACAGCCTGTGTCTGAGCACATGCACATTCATACCTAACGGCATGCTCACTTTGTAGACGGCCCCAGCTAAAGGACAGAAACTATGTTTTAGACGTATTATAGTACCATACAAAGTTAGTAGTCAGTAACCATATGATGTGAGATAATGACTGTGGGAGATGAATTTATTTGAAATGGTGTGACTTCATGAAGCAATCCCTACAAGAGGAAAATCCAGGATTCTCTTAGAACCCTGAGGAAGAAGGGAGAACAAGGGATTTTTAGGAAGAAGAGATAACTAAATATAATGTTCATCTTTATGTGGAAGCTAATAGATCTTTCTAAATATTGGTAGAGTACACTTGTGAAGTTTTATTTTTTAATTTTAATTATTTAGTTTATATGTATTTTATAACTGTTCAAATTTATCTGAATAGTAAGTAGCAAGCCCCTTCACCTCATTCGTGATTATTTTCCCAGACCTTGTTAAATTTTATTTATCTTGTTGAAGGTGAATTAAAAAGAAAAAAATTTACTGAAATTAATTCATTATTAATCAAATTGAATGCTTAAGGGGATTTTAGCAAAAAGTAGGAAAGGTTAAAGCCAGGTGGA